CAATAAGTAACTGCCATCAGCACAGATTTTGCTGGAGGATTTATTACCAAATAATTCATTGGTTTGTTTTCTGATGCTGCGCAATAAAGATTTCTTCGAGAGAGTACACTTATGTTTCATGAAACACCTTTCGCAATCTCGGAATGAGCCAAAATACTTCACAGGCATTGAAGTCTCGTCCCCTACTGTCTTAAGAAACTTGTCAACCAATCTGTGTGCAAGGTCCCAAACAGCAATAATTGCTGGTAGTCTTTCCTGTGGTGTCGTTGTTTGAAGGGTTGATAGTGGCCGGAATATACACGTTTAGACACCCCTGCTCTTCTGTGATTTGCTTTTGATTTTATTGTCACGTCTATTTTGCAGTTAACAACGCACTAAAATACACTGAAAGACTCTCGTTTGTTGTCATGACACGGCACCATTTTGAATAATTTAAGAATAAGGGGAAAAAAAAAGACATAGCTTGAAGAGAGTCCGTCAGTCCTGAGCCTGCTCATCACCGTCAATGATGCCGTCCCTCTGCCAACCGCCTGCACCAGACCCAACAGCATCGACGTCGCAGGTCTTCAATCGCCACCTTTGCCGGTAGGCCAGTACTCCTCCACCATCGCCTTGCCGCCATTTGTGTCAGACCAACCAATGTCAGAGGCCCACATTGGTTGTGGAAAGTACCATGGGATCCAGTGTGTCTGCCTGAGAGACGCTGCATGTATAGAATGTGTAGACATTTTGGCCTGTAAACTGGGCCAGTTGCCGGCGCACATTTTCCCTGGCCGACGTTCCTTTCTCTGCTGCTAAAGAGAAGGAATGTGATTAGACTGAAATATTTATTTAAATACAATGTTGTCTAAGATGAAGACTTCAGGAGTTTTGTAGGCTAAAAGTTAACTCCTGAGCATAGTCATCGATAACGTCATCCTGATATAATGATGGTGACTCTAGAGAAGGTGTCACAATTTAGATTACACACTGTATGGTGACGGAAATAGTTAGCATACAATGGAAGTCTCTAGCTAGAACGATTGGCCTGGATGTTGCCAGCAGCAGTGGGAGCTGATACAGGACACCCAGCTGCTCACTCTTTACCACCGGGGTGGACATGTTCATTAGTCTCAGGGGAACGCTTCCATACGTAACATCTGCTATGAAAAGGCACTCTCCCACCACGCCCTCAATCTCGGAGATGGTGAAGTTGTCTCCTTGCAGCAGAATACCCAGGCCGGAGGAACAGCGATCGTTTACCCCGAGCGAAGCGAAGGCCCCTGGATCCATGAGTTCGACCATTTCCTGTCACTGCTGAGGTGCGATATCCCACACTCCTGCAGAAACAGGAGGCCCCCTTTGAAGCTGGCCAGCTAAGCCAGTGTGGAAATGCTTTGTGTAGCGGATTTAATACCACACATGTTAACACTGGCAATTTTAAAACGCGTTGAGAGTTTATAGAATTACCCATAGACCCAATGCCCATTCACCCGCGGTCTTGTCACTGAGGGAGTCCCTGTGTCCACGTGGTGTGCGCGGACTGTTGGACACTCTCTGCACTGAGTTAGCCACCCTGCTCCTCCCTGGGGGGATTGCCCTGATCCAGTGTCATCATGCCAAGTCCAAAGCCAGCAGGGGCCAGTTTGGAGCCTGACGGAGTAAGCGTTGTGCTCTGCTCCTGATTCGAAGCGGTGCGTTTCCCCCGAAGCTGTGGTGCACTGGTCACCTCTTGGTTCCCAGGTTGGGTTTCACTGGGCCCGTCCGGATGTCTGGTGTTTCTGGGTTGGGTGGGGAGTTTGGGTGCTTCTCCTCTCCTTCTCCCCACCCCGTGGTGCGCTCTGCCTCCTTTTTTTTGTGGTTGGCCATCTGCCCCACAGCTGCCCCTTTCCATTTTGCTTTGGGGGCCCGAGGTGCTTTACTTTTCCGGTTACTTCTCACCCATATCCATTTCCCTGTCTCCTTTGTTTCCTCGTCGTCCGTTAACCCCATCTCTGTTCAGTCAGAGTTTGGGTCGGTTGCTGTGCCTCCTTTTCCTCCTCTCCGGCCTGTCCCTCCTTCTGGGTCCCCCCTCATTTCCGTTTTCGTACTGTCCTTAGAGGGGTGTCCGTGACACCCGCTGCCACTTCCGGCCATCTGAGCGTGTGAGGTGCGTCCACCCACCCCTTTCCCCACCCTGCCCCCGTCTTGGATAGGCCTTGTATAGGTGACCCGCTATCCCACACACAAGTTGTAGCTCTGGGGCTCCTTGCAGTCCTTGGTCAGGTGCCCCTCCTGTTTGTAGTTCCTGCAGAGGGTCACTTTGCAGTCCACCGCCCTGCCCTCGAGCAGGTTCGGCACACTCTTAGCCTGCCCCACATTTGTCAGGTAGCCTCAGCTCCTTCTGATCGTGAAGCTGGAGGGCAGATGGAGCATGTTCCCACCTTCGGGGTCACCTTGACCTGCTGCTTGCTGGTCCAGATTCCAAAGGGGTCCACTATGTCGGTGCTGCCTCTTTCAAGTTATGCGCACCTTCCCAAGAAGGTCAGGATATCTGCCGCCGGGACGTGCGGGTTGTACATATGGATTGAAACAACCCGGCTCCTCTTGTGCAGTGTCAATGAACAATGGTGCAACAGACAGGGCAGAGAGGGGACCCCTCACCTCCTTCCTCTCAAATAGCTTCAGGAGCAGTTCACATTGCTTCACTCTCCTGAAGGTCATGTTCAAGTAACACGACCCCCCCATCTCTGGGGATATCCTACAGACAGAAAATATCTGCTGATTGGAACCCGCAGCAATCCTGGAGAACTGCCCTCATAAAGAAGGTCTGGTTGACCAGCGATCCTTCCTCCACAGTGACCCTGACTGTATTGCGGACCCCCTGGCCCGGGACATGGGCACTAGCAGAGGCCATAGCTCTGGTTGACTGGTCACTGAATTGGTGTTAGGCCGAAGCCAACATGAAGATCCACCAATTTCAGCTCAGCTCAATCGATGATCCTCCAAGTTCTGCTCACACCCACAATCCAGGGCTGATCTCCGAGGTCAGTTCTCAGCCCAGATTCATCCTGGGAGAATCACACCACCATTTGGCATTCTGGCCAGTGCTTACCCTATAAGATCCAATATGTTGGTCATGTAATGCAATGCTGGTTGCAGGATCTGGCTGTGTGCATTTCAGTTTACCATGGTTTCCACATTACGCAAAGGAACTACAATGTACAAGTAATTCATTGGTTGTGAAACACAATGTGTTTGTAAGTGGTGATTTAATCCATGCAAATTCTATTGTTTCAGTGAGACAAGTTTAATAGAATATGGGGAGGTGGATTAGTCAGAAAGGAACACACTTGTTATGTTTAATGGAAGCCTCCCAGTGCTAACATTGTGTGTTCTTATTACACAGTCTGAGCAAGATCATCAGTCACAATGAATTTGATTTTGACAAGTACCAATCTCTTTGTCCCTTTGTTTTTTGTTTAAGTAGCTGCAAATGATCTGCTGAACTTTAATTAGGAGGAAGGGAGTTATAACACAACAGGATCAAGTGACATCATGAAACCAGAGAATGTAGTTCCATCAGTTTGTGTTTCAATTTGAAACCAGGGGAACCTGAGGAAGACATAGTAGGAACTGCCGATGCTGGAGAATCTGAGATAACAAGGTGTAGAGCTGGATGAACACAGCAGGCCAAGCAGCACCAGAGGAGCAGGAAGGCTGACGTTTCCGGCCTAGACCCTTCTTCAGATTCCTGCTCCTCTGATGCTGCTTGGCCTGATGTGTTCATTCAGCTCTACACCTTGTTATCTCTGAACCTGAGGAAGGGTCACCGAACCCGAAACGTTAACTCTGATTTTTTTCTTCACAGATGCTGCCAGACCTGCTGAGCTTCCAGCAACTTCTGTTTTTGTCCTCTCATGTTTTCATGCTTTTAGATATATCGTTTGTGAAGAATTGTTCTGCTGACATTCAGGGAATGCCTATTGGATTTGTTTGTGCTGGGCATTTTTTAAAAAAATATCACCAATGGATTTACAATCAGAAAATGTTTTCCAACAACATGACTTGCGGTACATAAAGGCAGGTTAGACTCTCAAAGCAGGATCTTTTCCTTAGTGAGGTACCAAGATTTCTTTATAAAATAGCTCTTTCAAATAGCTGGAGACAGGTCAGCTTCTTCCTGAGCGATATGGAAGCCTTATATCACCCTGCTATCAGGTACAGCATCAAAAAACTAAAGATGGTCATGGCTGCAACTGTGGGAAATACAAATTTCAAAACTAAATAAACTCACTGACAAGGATTTAAATGATATCTGCTTGAATAAATGCATATTAAAAAGATGTGGAGTTGTCCACTCTGACTTTGGATGATTAAAAACTGCATAAAGTTTTTGAGTTCTGAAGAAGAGTCATATTGAACTTGAAACATACACTGTGTTTCTCCCTCCGCAGATGCTGCCAGATGTGTTCGGTTTCTCGAGCAATTTCTCTTTTTGTTTAAGTTTTATTATTATAGTCTTAGATTGGTACCTGAATAACATATTTAAGGATTATGGTATTGGTTCATTGCAACTGTTAAAATGTTGCATTGCAACTGTTGAAATTACAAGATAGGATTAAAGCATGAGTCTGAAAGAGATTTTCATCTTGTCTGGATGTAAAATAAGAACTAGAGGTATTGTATTCTAACACAATGCATCATTCTGTCACTCCCCACTCCCCACATTATTCTTGTCCTGCAATAGTGCCTGGATTTCCCACAAAGGTTATAAATACAATATCAGCCTCTAGATCCCAAAGATTATAAAGACTATATTATCCCCTAGATTCCAAAGGTTAAAATAATGACATTGGCCTCTAGATCTAAAAAGGGGAAAAATAGGATTGTGCGAACAAGAGAAAGCCCAACTTCTCAGCAAGCAGCTTAACCTTTCTGCTTCAAGCCATTGCCTATGAATAAGTCCCTGCAGACACAGTTAATTGGAGATTGGCATATTAGACATGAAAGAACACAAAGTTAAAATGTCTATCCATTTATTTATTACACCACTTTTCAAATACAAAAAAGCACCATGATACAGCATTCAATAAATAGAGCTACTAACAGAAATTGAAGTTTCTTCATTACACTCGGTAACAATATCAATACTTCACAATGTAAAAGACCAGCAAAATGATGCGTCAATCACATAGGATAAAGGCTACGATACACAACAAACAGACCGAAAAGAAAATCATAAAAAGCTTGTGTAGAAACAAGGTTGAGACAGAAAGGGACAACCAAAGGAAAGCATCAAATGTCATTATAATAAATATTTAATCTACATGATTTGTACTTCTGATTTGTATCTCTCGCCATAGCTTATTATGACAGGAAATTGAAATATAAAAGTCAAGCCAATGTGGTTGGAAGAAAACATTGCCAGGACACTGTATTCAAGGAAGTGGAGTGGGACAAGGAGGAGCAGGGGGAGTGAGAGAGGAATCAATTTAGGGTAAGGCTTTGAACTGAGGGCAGCAACAGATAAATCATAACTTTATCTCCCAAAAGCAAGAGGAATTTTTAATAATTTCTCAGCAACTCTATCATGGCAAATAATTTTACTGATGGGTATGATTAGCACTCCTTTTCAATAATACTTCTCACTCCCTTAAAAGAACAAGATAGCCAGGGTGAAAAGTATGGCATGTGGCTCTGTATTGGTGTTATGAAAGTCACTGAGGGCAACGGAGTGTTTTCATCTACAGTTCCAATATTGTGAGAGTTTTATGCCAGAACAGAACACATACAGGCCAGGGGTAAATAAATAAATACCAGACGGGTGGCAATTGCTTACAATCATTCTTAGGTTATTAGTGATAAAAGGCTGTGTTCTGCCTAGATTGGCAATAAGAATACACAGTCCTGAAAGGAGCTCCATTGGAAGAATATGGTTTCTCTTCTTATTTTCTGTAAATTGTCCTGAAACACTATCATGATGTGGGTCACCATGACAACAATAATATGTGGTTCCTTCCCCACCTTCCCTGCTGCAAGACACTATTTGTATAAATTTCATCATGAAGAGTGTTCAGGGGAACCTAATTGGCCACATTACAGAAATCCAATCTCATTCTACTTAATATGCCTCTTAACCATTTAACTTATTCATTTGCTTTTTCACAGGTTTATCTAATTCCTCTTAACCACTGTGACTGCCTCCTTCAATGTTCTTCTTGTGGCGATGAACTCAATGCTTCACTGAATCTCTAAGTGAAAATATCCTTCTAAGTTTCTCTCTTATCTTTTTCATAATGAAAATAATTACACCATATCAGCAATTAACTGATCAAATTCACTAGTTATTTCAAACTATTATTTTGAGTTTTCTGTCATTCTTTCAAAACAAAAGATAACTGTCCTTTAATGTCCTACATGCACAACTTTGAGACAATAGGGATGATTTGACCTAGAGGCTATTCAGTTCCAGGTACTCAGTAGAGGAAAGCTATGAAAAGAGGCCTATGTTACTTGCACCATTGTCCATTTCGCCCTGCCCAGGGATTTGTAGGTTTCTCTGTGCATTTCAGGGGACAGTGATGTAACAATATGTTCCAGCTCATTTTCCTTGTCCAGTCCCAAAGGATTCCCATTAGCAAGAGCTCTGAAAGATGGTAGCCTTGGGTCCTGCTCTGATTGGAATACAAAAACAGGAGTCAGCCATTCACCTTCTCAAGCGTGTTCCAACATTCAATTGGATCATGCCTGGCTTGTGCCACAACCCCACTTAGCTTCCAGTGAGGATCTGATAACGGAACATGAAGGAGCCGAGGAGAAGGTTAAAGAGCTTCTTTTTTCACCAAATATCCAAATATGCCTACAGTGCTGGATGCCTTCTAACTAGTGAGTGTGGACTCTCAGACCTACAGTGCTGGTCTCCCACCCTGATTCCAGGTCTGGGCTCCTGGTAAGGGAATGCCTGTATTTGGGGGAGTCCTGGGCCCTACAAACTGACCTGATCCTAGAATTACAGGATGGAGAGTCAGGGCATTTTTGGTGAGGCTTACATGAGATTTGAGATGCTTATTGTTAGCAGCATCCCAAATGAAGCAGAGGAAGGGGAAAGTGCAAAAATTAATCCCAAAAGCTGAATAGTTTAACAAACAACATAAAACCCAATGAAAGAAATGAACTTTGCTTCAGATCAGGCAGGATATCATTGAATTCTAGAACAGGTTTGAGGGTTGAATTGCCAACTCACATTTCTACTTGCCTTCAAAACCGAGAATAAATCAAACAGGAACAAAAAGGGGCATGGAAATCTATTTTTTAAAAATTTGCTTGGGTAGGTCCTATTATTTATGTTAAGTAAAAAAGAATATAATTGTAGAGGCACAAAGGTGGATAAAAGAAGGAACATTGCACTGTTTGGTCAACGGTGCCTATGAAATGTCAGGCTTCCATTTTTCTGCTAATGCCCTAACTTAATAATATAGATAAGCATGAGACTGTGAAGTTTTGCTATCACTGTTAACACCTTGACTGAACAAAAGATCTAAACTTCACAAGTGCCAGCTCAGGTTCCACAGTAAGTCCATTTACTCAACTACTGCAACACACTGCCATAAAACTCTTCTGACTCACTCAAATCCGATTACCTTATCTATGATTATTAATTGTAGATAACTTGCATTGGCTCTTGTTAGGATGAATACATCAACTGAAGAGATATTGAGAATTATTTTCTTTCATGGCGGCATCTCTCCTCCCTTGGATTATTTTACCACTTAGTGCAATTCAGATTGAGAGCTGAGCAGAGTGGGATTTGCACGTGGATCAGTCACCGCTCTGCAGTACCATATGTGCTGCCGTACCATTCCTTCCCCCTTTCTTAAATAAAACTTTCAATTAACTATTGCAGCAGTCAGCCAGCCAAATACTAACTTGAGGCTCATCATCTGCAACTGCATTGCCTCCGAGTGCAGGCAGTGTTATGGGATCTCTTTAAGACATCAGAACTGGCAACTGTAATTGTTGCAAAGAAAGGGCAGAGTCCATATCTCAGAATAGTCTAGGTCATGGGTTTGCCTGCGTCAGTGAATATGGAAATATATTTGAATTTTGTCATTTAGTTTTGATTTAGTTGGGGGTAAACTTGTCCAGTGAATCTGCCTGGTGGGTAATGGTAAGAGAAATTCAACCATGCTGGTGTTAAAGGTGGATTAAGATATATGACAATCCCGTGTCCTCACAATGATAAACCAAAATCTGGCAATCATTTTTGTCAATCTTTCAGGAGCTAACAGTTTGTCCTGGCACTGACATCACTTTAAATTTTACTGGGAAGGGGACAACAAGACGGGATATGAGTTAAAGGCAGACTCTGAACAGAGAAGGATCAGAGGCAACAACGCACGTTCAAAGAGAAGGACCACTGATGTGTTCTGAAGACAAGAGGGAGATGGTGAGGGAAGAAATTTCAGAGTATAAATTTCACCTTGGTTGTTGAGGAAATGGAACCAGTTTCAAAATAAAATATTACTGGAAATAAATAAAAGGCTGGGACCAGTAAAAAGTGATTGTATAGCTGTCGTGTAAATCTAATTGGTTCAATGAAGTGCTTAATTGAAGGAAACCTGCCTTCTTTACCCAGTTTCTAACTCCTACTGTCCTTCCTAGAAAATGTAGTTGGTTCTCAACTTGCCTCTGAAAAGGTCTCATAAGCCACTCGGCTCTATCAAAACCAGCAGTTCTTAGGAATGCGCAAGAGCCGCTGGTCTTGTCATTGATACCACCGTCATGAAAGCGAATTTAAAATGAAAACGGGGCTAGTTGACTTCTCAGAACAGCAAAACCAAAAATATAAATAACTTTGACTCTTTTGTTTTTTTTTTCGCAGCGAAGCCAGATTTAAAAATAAGATCACAAACAGTTAGTTCTTTCCTTGGAGTAAAGATTTCAATCCATCTGTGATGCAGTCACCAGGCATCTGACTAACATTGCTGGGCTAGAAGCAAATCACATTGTAAAAGCCGACAGCTTCTCCTGCAGCCAGGCTAGACCAGAAATGACATGTTCGTTTTGTGTTTGTGTTTACAATAAGCTGTTTTCCTGTCCAGACGCCAAGGTAGGTAGATTGGGGACAAGCAACGTGGCAGAGAGAGAAAAAAAGAATACAAAATGCAGCTCTCAAAAAAAAGGGATACCGCTGCTACTGGGAGGTCCCCAGCATGGATGTTCTAAAACGTGGTTACTGGCACATGCTGCTGTGCCATTAGTATACGTTTCTACCAGTGGACCATGCGCGACTGGCACTCAACAATTAAGCAGATCTCTCACTTACTCCTTTGCCCGAGAATCCCCACAAATCAATCCGTTTAAAAAACCTGAGACGATTTTTTCCCCCCCTTTCCGTCGTATTGTTGCAGCCCGAGTGCATTTCATCAAGGGGGTGTGGTGGTGGTGGTGGGGGTAGAAAAAGCCTTTTTTTTAATTATTATGTTTATTCAAACCTGAGGTATTTGCATCAAGCAGCCAGGATATCATTAAACTATTCAAAAACATTTAAATCAGCCATAATAATAGATACACCACTATTTACATTATATTAACGTCTGCATCCATTCGCAATCAGTTCATACAGATTATCTCATATAGAAGGTACTTTTCCAGCCTTTACTGTAGCAGTCTACATGTCAACTGGCTCAGTCACTGACAAGGAAGGGCAAAGTGCAATAAGTGGCCTTCTCAGGTAGCAGACCAGGGTTTGATGCGAGGACAAAGGAAACATTAAACAGGGGAAAAAAAAAATATATATATATAATTAATAAGATAAAACCAGACTTTCTGTGAGAGTATTGCTTGAAGTACTTAAATACCGTACTGTACAACTTCAAAACGGGGTGGCCAGTTCCCTCATCTTTCACCATTGCCAGAATGTGTGCGGAGAAAATAAATTAGCTTTTCTAAAAATGTTCGGGACAAAAGTCTCAAGTGAAGTGTCAGCCCACTTGCCGTATCAGAAGAGATACACTGCGCCCCCTCTCTTACTCACTCTCTCACACACACACACACACACACACGCGGAAAAAATAGACCAAGTCCGCCGTTCCGAATCGTCGGGCGATAAATAACCACAGTCCCTCCCTTTCACCCAGTGAAAACAGCCCGTTGCCAAAGGTGTCACGACACCTCGATGATCTCCATGCTGCCGGAAAAGCTGGACTGTTTGCCTATCTTGCCCAGGTCTTCCCTGGACCTGCTCTCTGACATGCCGTCCTCAAACTCCATCTGGCAGCTCCGCCTCTTGAACTGTTTCTCGATGGCCCCCTCCTCGTGCCAGCTCCGCCTCGTGTCCCTGGCCTCGGGCTGCTTCTCGCGCAGCCGCACCGCCCCGTACGGCTCGCGGCCGGCGCTCCCGGCCACGTGCCCGGGCTGCGAGTCCGCGCCGAAGTACCACGTCGGCGCGTTGACGCCGGGCGCCGCCGTGGCCGGGGAAGGGGCGGGCGCCGGCGCCAGTTCCGAGTGCTTGGCCCACCGGCTGATGGCGCTGCCGCCCAGGGGCAGCGGCTGGGCGCTCGGCGCGTTCAGCAGCAGCGCGTGCCTCAGGCTGCCCTCCGCGTCGCCGGCCTTGCGGATTGGGCAGGGGACGGCAGTCCGGGTCACGTTCAAGGTCAAGGGGTGGGGCGCCGGGCCGCAGGGGTTGGAGAGGCTGCCCGCGTGCTTCGGCTTACGCCTCTGCCGAGCTTTGGTTTCGGCACCGGCCTCTAACCCCGCCGGCTTCTCCGGGCTGTCCAGGCTCGGAGGGTGATGCTGCTGCTGCTCGACGCCGGGAGGGCCGGCCATTTTGACCTCGAGCTTGCAAAGCTTTGGGATGTCGTCGGAATCGATCGGCGTGGCGGCCTTGCTGGAATTGAAGCTGGCACTCGGCGAGTAGGAAGACTTGATGTCCAGCGAAAACGAGCGCTTGAGACGGTTGGTGTCCTGAATCCGCTCGCTCGACAGGTGCAACCCGTTGAGGCCCTGCTGCAGGCTGATGTGGGAGGCGTTCTTGCAGTCAGCCGCACCGCTCTCCGCGTCTCCGCACTGCTGGCTGGCGTCCTTCGCCGCGGGCTGCCCCGTTGCCTCGGGCGCACAGAAGGCCGGACGTGTCCTCTCCAAGATGCCCCTGCAGACGTCTGTCACCTCTCTGTCGATGTCCTCCTCCAGCCTGTCGGCCTGGGGCTTCAGGGAGCTCAGTGAGCGGACCTTCAGAAGCTTCAGGTTCTTCTCGTACTCCAGCAGCTGGCCCATGAAGTTGAAATTGGGAGAAATCGATGGCCGTCGGTCCTTGACAAACCTTTGGGAAGAACACAGAGAAGCTTAGCCGCCGCTCCCAGACCGGCATTTGCCCCACCACCCACAGCCTTCAGAACTGCCAACGACAATAAGCCACAAAGCTAACTGCTTAAACTTTTCCCTGCATTACATAGTTCACAGACATACGTGCAGGGAAGCATTTCAAAGTAGCTATTTCCCATCTCGCTCCCCGCAACTGAGGGTGATCTGACTGTTACTAAAAGCCCACAGCAGTGAGGTCAATTACAGAGGGCTTGCCTCCTCTCGGTTTTGGTATGTGCAAAGAGGTGGGTATTCTGTTCCCTACTAGTCTGGGGAAGGAGAATGAGATAACAAGGTGTAGAGCTGGATGAACACAGCAGGCCAAGCAGCATCAGAGGAGCAGGAAGGCTACCGTTTCGGGCCTAGATCTCTGGGGAAGGAGACTTGCAGCTTCAGGCAGCTGACCAGATACCTGTTTTAAAAAAAAACTACCCTCTGTTCCATTCAATATATTCCTTCTGGATAATGCGACCTGCACACTCAAGTGTAGAAAGGCAGTATCTTTGCACCCTCAAGGCCACCTGATTGTTAGATGCCAGTAAGCAGGTAGGATGCCCGCTGTTCTACAGTACAAATGCTGGGAAGGATTTTGTCCCTCCCTCGCTGGCTCATTGCCAACACAAAGGGTGAGTAACTTGTTCCTTCGCTGAGCCCCTGGCAAAATGCATTGCCGACTGAACTTTTGCCTCTTGTTCTCCCACAACAGCAAAGTAGGAAATGCTCAGCCAGGACTAACACTCACATGCATCAGTGTGAAGAACCAGCCTCAATTTTCACTCCCAGTCTGTGCTGCTGTAACTCACTTAATTTTGACACACAGGCATCGGAGCATTGCCAAGCTGATCTCTTACTGCGGGTAATTTTATTCTAGTGCTTTTGAGTAAAGTGGCTTCAATGAAAACAGAAATTGATAGAGCTGTTAAACAGATCTCTGTTTCACTAGAACATGATCAAACCCTTCCCTTCCTAGCTGTTTTTAAATTGCACTAAATCGATGCTTCCTACAGACAAGTATTGCACTAACAGCCACAGTCCAAAAGCAGATGTTGTGGATATGGGGTATTGTTGCAATTTACTATTGAATTGTAACAAAATGAGGAAAGCCCAAACACTGAAAGCCAAATCAACTCGAATATATCCCAACACAACATGGACACAGCTCAACTATGAGCCAGTGCCACTGATAACAGCCTCGGTACTAACAACACAAGTTCACCATTACCACAATGTGCCTGGCAGTGTCCCTCGCTCTCATAATATAATTGGTTATGCTCTGCCTCTTACTTTGTCAAGCTGTGTCATCTAAACCAGGCAATATGCAACGTGCAAGTCAGAAGACTAAGTTCCTATAGGAGAGTGATTGCCTTTCTTGGTGTCATGAATGGCTCGTAACTGAACAGCACTTTAATAGGTGGTGCTGTTTGGAATGAACTGAAAGGCTTCTCAAAAGCACTAAGACTGGGATGAGAGAAAGGGGAAAAGTACATTAAGAACGCAACACAGCAGAGATCAAAGTCACTCCCTTATCTACAACTCGGGCCCTGAAGTCTGCAGTGGAGGTCGCATATTATTTACCTGTAAGCATCATCTGAGGAGAGACCCATGGTCTTCATGATGTAGGCAATGGCAACAGTAGCTGATCGAGAGATCCCAGCCAAACAGTGGACAAGTACTCGACAGTTGGAGACTTTTGCTTTGTCTAGAGGGAAGCAGAGAACAGTTTGGGTAGAATGCATCCGTCACCCCTTAACATGCAGTATAGTATTCTACCCTTTACAATATGGTATAGCACAGGAACAGGCCCTTCGGCCCATCAAGCCTGCGCCAATTCCTTGTCCTTATTTAGACCCGCTACTTATTGCCCATGCGCTGTATCTTATCCCTAAAGTTGCCTCCCGTTCACCTGTTTATCAAGGTACGCCTTAAATGTTGCTAATGTGCCTGTTTCCACCACCTCCACTGGCAGTGCATCTGAGGCAAGTGGAATCAAAAACTCTCTGAATAGAGAGACACATCGTTTTATTATTCACTTTCTCTCATGGCACCATGAGAGAAGTCTTGGAACCAAAGAAAGGCAGTTAATTTTAAAAAAAAAATTATTTAGCCTGTTTTTCTAATCAACCCGTTCAGGGATGTTATTACACACATCTGGAGTGGGTAGGATTTGAACTTGGACCTCTCAGTCTAGGGGTAGGGACGCTACCTCGGCACCACAAGAGCCCAACCACCCACTATCCCACGAGAATCCAGAAAACAGCTGCCATAACACGGATTCGAGCAGAGTTTGCTGCAGCCACCATGCAATATTCTATTCTACTCAATCGTGGCACGACACAGCGCAAGAAGGGCAGCTATGTTGACGTGAATCAGCTGATTTCGTACAAAGAGGCCACCTTACTCCTCATGCTGGCATAGGCTGTACAAATTAGTGCCGTTCCCTCTATAGTACTTCAATGATGCTCAAGGCATGCCACATGTCTCACCTATAAAAACAACAGATTCATCCAACCAGGGTAAAAGTTTCTCACAGTAGTTGTCGTTGACTGGAATGCGCATGAAGTGACTCTCTGAGATGAAGTCAGGCTTGGGACAAGAGTTGCTGGCATTAAGAACGTATGTGATTCCATTCTGTACCATTAAGTCCTGGAACAGGAGAATGATTACAGATTAATCTACGCACACAAAACATATTTTCAAATCCCAGTTCTGAGCAATGACATTTTGCAGGCGACCATTAGAATGTCATGCAAGAGGACTTATAGCACAGTGGTAGTGTCCCTACTTCAGGGCCAGGAGCTACAGGTTCAAGACGTAGTGAGTTCATAACCACCTCAGGAATACGTCCTGAGCACCGGTGGAAACCCAGCAGACACAGAGAGAATGTGCAAACCTCGCACAGATGGTTGCCCAAGTGTCCCTGGCGCTGTGAGGCAGCGGTGCTAACCACTGAGCCACCATGCCACTGATTGTATCCGTGATACTGCTCTGCCTCACACGCATTCACAGACGTCACTAACAGTTCAAATACAGGGTTTACGAAGACTTTCTTTCAAACACAGAGAAGTGTGAGGCTGTGGTATATCCAGCCACAGAACAGCTGAAACAGATAAGGGAGTCTTAATACATCCGTGAGGAGGAGGAAAGGACGAGAGGGACAGAGGATGGGTGGCAGGATAGATAGATAATTAGTGCGTGCAGTCTACCAGCAAAAGTTATGGCAGCAGGGAGAAAGTAGGTAAATTCAGCAAATGAAAACCAGACATCTGCTGTGCTTTTTGTGATTGTGAACATGGCAGTGTGACTATCATTGAAACCAGCCTGTTTTTAAAAGCTGGAGACACCCACTCTGCTCTATTGCAAACCCACTGAGTAACAATTCCTCTGGGTCAGAGGATGATGTGATTTTCTGAAAGCCCATTAAAGCAAAATCACCATTGATAGTTCTCATTGCCAGATCTAATGAAACCTTTCCAATCCCAAAATGCTTTCTTTCCCTTTGTATTTGCTTAACTGGTTTGCTCTCTCTCTCAATTCTTTGCCCCGATCTCTAGCATTCATAGATTTTGTTGAGAATTAGATGCCATTTTTGATTTTGCAACACATTTGTTCTCTCCTTGTCTTTCTCTTTGCTAAACCTCCCTACAGCATGCACCATTGCTTACCCCTAAACTCGGTTAACTCTATTTATACAAGTGAACATTAAGTGACCTTGATCTATAAACCAACATGCAATAAAATCCTCTCTCTCCTTTGGTTGCCAACTATCCCAGATTTCGTTGGAGTCTCTGGGAATTAAGGGTTAGTTTCCTGGTCACAGCTGCACACAACCTGAGAGAATGTTCATAGGGTGTTAAAGAAAAGAGTGTGTCTGTGTCTTTTTCATTTATTGGAAGCTTTTACAGCACGAGAAAAGACCCTCTGGCCCACTGTGTCCATGCTGGCCATCAAGCGTCTATCTATTCTAATCCCATTTTTTGGCACTGGCCTATAGCCTTGGATGCTATGGTGCTTCAAGTGTTTATTTAAATAGTTCTCAAAGGTCTTGAGGGTTCCTGGTCCTTTTAGGCATTGAGTTCCAGAAAATTTCCCCCATCTCCCCTAACTCCTTACCTCAAAAATGAGCCCCTCTCATAAAAAAGATGAAGGATGAGACAGCATAGATTTAAAGTGATGAGCAAAGGAAACAAGGGTGAGGTGAGAGAAAACTTTTTTTTCACAGTGAGTTGTTACAGTGTGGACTGTACTGCCTGGAAATGTGAAGGAAAACATTTTTCACCCAGAGGGCTGTGGGAATCTGGAAGATCTGGAAGAGGCAAAAAAGACATTTAAGGAGCACTTCAATGTGCAGGGATGGCATGGTGACTCAGTGGTTAGCACTGCTGCCTCACAACACAAGGGACCAAGGTTCGATTCCACCCTTGGGTGACAGTCTGTGTGGGTTTCCTCTGGGCACTCTGGTTTCCTCCCACAGTCCAGAGATGTGCAGGTTAGGTAGACTGGCCATGCTAAATTGCCTCAAAGCGTCCAGGATATGTAGGCTAGGTGGGTTAGCCATGGAAGATGTAGGGTGGGAGGGTCAACATGGACTTGTTGGGCTGAATGGCCTGTTTCCACACAGTGGGGATTCTACAGTTTGCGATGCCAAAGCACACAAGGCTCTGGGCCAAGTGCTGGTAAATGGGATTAGAATAGTTAGATGTTGTCTTTGACCACCACAGACATGATAGGCCAAAGGGCCCTTTTCTATGCCACATCTCTGACTCTGGTGGAAGGAGCTTCAACTGGAGCATTGAAGGAGCCATTGGATATGGGGAAAGGATAGGAGATTGACACTAGGTAATAGAACGGGTATGGTCAGAATGACCTGAATGGCCTCCTTTTGGTCCATAATTCTGTGCCCCTGGGTTACTGACCCCTCTAGTGAGGCGAAAGGATTCTCTTTATCTGCCTTATCTATCCCCCCCTCCCCACATAACTCTGTCCAATTCAATCAGACCCCACTTCAGTATTCAGTTATTGGACAAGGATTATAAATGAAAGGCTGTTTTACTGGGTGGGAGGATGTGTGATAAAACCTCAATGAACTGTCCAACCACAGCTGGTGACTCAACTCTCCCCCGTACTGGGAGGAAAGTATCAGAGATAGTAGGAACTGCAGATGCTGGAGAATCTGAGCTAACAAGGTGTAGAGCTGGATGAACACAGCAGGCCAAGCAGCATCAGAGGAGCAGGAAGGCTGACGTTTCGGGCCTAGACCCTTCTGGGAGGAAAGTACTTGGCTTCACTTTCTGGACAATTAAACGGCGGTGGAAATCACAGGGGCAAACTCACAGCTGACATTTCCATACAAATGTGAGAAGTGGCTAGCCTTTAACTGCTGATATCGCGTGCTTTTTTTTCCCCCACACTCTGTGGGTGTACGTGAGCAGAAAAACAATTCCCAGCATAAACTGCAAGGTGTGAAAGCCTTTAATGGTCATTACAGGATTCCACACAAAAGAATTAATGACCAGATACAGGCTAAGTGATGGCCATAATTATTGAGCAGTTAAAGTAATTTCCAATTATACAAAAGGAAGACAAATCACAGTGTAGGGTTAAAATCGAATCAGAGATAGTAGGAACTGCAGATGCTGGAGAATCCGAGACAACAAGGTGCAGGGCTGGATGAACACAGCAGGCCAAGCAGCATCATAGGAGCAGAGAGGCTGACGTTTCGGGCCTAGACCCTT